ATGAACCTGAAAGGCTGTGCTGCAGAGCCAACTTTTCTACCTCAACATCTGGCGACCAGTATTTATTGCTATTCGTTTTTCGTATTAATCTTCATGCATTTTTAATTCATTCGTTTGCATACCGAGGAAAAAGTAATTTACTAAATTTCTTGTTTTAGTGGTTTTGCAATTGAATTTGGTGCTGCTGTTACAGTTCTAGTTTCAAGCAAGTTTGGTCTTCCAATAAGCTCGACGCAGTGCAAGGTAAATCTTACTTCTGTTTTTCAACTTCCACTTCTCTAGAACTGCAGTGTTCATCAACTGTTCCAGTTTACCAGTACGATTGTGCTCCAAATGCTTCGATACTGCTATTGATTTGAATCACAAAGACAAAAAAAATAATAGGTCAACGCACGGCTGCCCGTGCGAAGATGCGTTTTTTGCATAGCTCCCCGCACATTTTTTTGGCTAACGGCGCTGGTTTTTTTGGCAGATGCTTCTAGCTAAAAGAATTTCAGACTGGCCGCCAGGACTGTCAGAAAACATCCCTTCAAAATACCAGCCTTCTAGCTTCTCACGTTCCCGAGTTAGCTACTTATCCAAGAGAAACGTAAGTACCACGCTTACCCGCAGACAGGTTTGAGCTCATTAATACCCACTTGGGCGGGGAACATCCCCTTGAGATTTCAGCCTTCTAGCTTCTCAGATGCCCGAGTTAGCGACTTACCCGAGAAAAAATTTTGGCGGGCCCGCACGCGGGTACCACGCTTACCCGGGAGCTGGTTTTGAGCTCATTAATACCTACTTGGACAGGGAACATCCCCCTAAGATTTCATCTTTCTAGCTCCTCAGATCCCCGAGTTATAAACTTACCCGAAAAAAACTTTGGCGGGCTCGTACGTGGGTACCAGGCGAGTAAGGGCGCTCATTTTCGGGATTGGAGCCTGTACATGCATGTAGATTAAGTTCTCAAAGTTTCAGCTCTGTAGCTTTTGTAGGTCTTGAGATGAAAAATCGGTACAGACGCACACACAGACACACGGATACACATACAACCCCTCGTCAATATGCGTTTTTTGCATTGCATAGCTGCAAGAAACGCATAAAAATAAATAGCGAAGCGCACCAGGGTAGCCGGTGCGATCATGCGTTTTGTGCAGTTCCGTCCAGTGGACGTTTGCTTGCTAAAAATATAACTGTTTTA